TTTTTTTTAAATTTTAGGATGCATTTTGCATACGGTTTTACAGACAATGAGCTGTTTTCTCAGAGCCAGTGAAAAAGTTAAGGACAGAACGAATGAGCAAGTGAACAAGTGAGCAAGTGAACAAGTGAACAAGTGAGCAAGTAAAATAAGAGCCAAACTGAACAAGTGAACAAAAAAGAGCAAGTAAGAGAGCAAAACTGAGCAAGTGAACAAAAATGAACAAGTGAACAATAAAGAACAAGTTCGAAGGAACATGTTCACTCACTCAGTTTAGTGAGCAACTCTTTTTTGTTCATTCACTCATGAGCAACCCAATACTACAGAAGAACGCCTAAATCATTTACTGAATATATACGGTCAAGTGGGAAGCTCTTTACGTTACATTTCAGGCAGTTAAAATTTAAGAGGTTATACTCACACCATACTAGAAAATTATTAATGTCTGATTGTAAGCCGAAACCAGACTCTATATTATTGTATGTCAAACAAAGCTTAACATCATCAGCATACATTAGTACGTGAGAATTTGTTATGATAGAGGGAAGATCGTTAATAAACAAAGTAAACAGCAAAGGGCCCAGATGACTACCCTGGGGCACTCCAGATGTCACGTGGATCATTTTAGAAACAGCTGGGTTTTTGCTGATCTTCCTAGGGATCATACTAGAAAGTGGGACAGAAGGAGGTGCACGGGTGTGGCCAGAGGCAGTACGAGGTGCGGCAAAGCCCCCGAAGTGGCAACAGCCGGTGACCGGTTAGCAGAATCTGGCAGGGATTACACCCTGACATAAGTCGTTAATGACTCGTTCCCATTGGGATCTTCCTTATCGCACGAAATATCCCAGCGGCGAACATGTGAATGGGGTCTGGAAAAAAATGCATTACACGTGTAGAAAATGTAATCGATCACGATCGCTGTTTTTCGACAGTGAAGTTGTAATCAGAGCTCCTATGACTTCGTATTTTTGTTCGTTAACGATTTCCTTTTGTCAAAAATCACAAACACACCTTAAAATTATTGCCTATGTGTTCGTTTTTTGTTTCCCCTCCGTCACATTTGAGCTTCGGAACTTTAATAATAACAGCATGCATTCTAAGTATAGTTTAACGAACTAAAAAAAGCACAGACAATGGCCGAGCGGTTAGCCTTTCCATCCATTATACAATAATACCCATGTTCAATTCCTACATGAGGAAAGATTAGATTTAGTCTGTCTACATTTTGCCTTAGAATATTGGGAAAGTATATTGAATTCGTAATGGAGACCCGAAGGTGTCTCGGCCCTAGCATACTTTTCAAGGCCTACATAGTTTCCAAGTTAAAAACAAGAGAGAACGCTATAGTCGGGTTGTTGTCCCGACTATCTAATACCCGTCACTCAGCTAAAGGGAGTGCGAACGCTGTGTCGGGTTGGTGTCTTGACTAATAATCGTAACTCAGCTAAAGGGAGTGCGAGGGAGATAGATATATAATTTTTGATTGCGTATAACTTTTTAATGAATGGTCCGATTTGAAAAATGTCTTCTACATTTCGATAGGTATAAATATACACAACAAAATTGCATTCATACTTCTCAGAAATCTTTAAAGATGTGGGCGCAGGACCCATTTTAAAATCGTTAGTGGGCGTTTGTGGGCGTTAGAGGGGGCGTGGCGCTCGGCTAAAATAAACTTGCGCTGCGTAGGAAGCCAAAGAATATGTGTGGGAAATATCAACCTTCTAGCTTTTGTAGTTTCTGAGATCTCAGCGTTCATACAGACGGACAGACAGACAGACGGACAGACGGACATGGCTAGATCGACTCGGCTAGTGACCCTGATCAAGAATATATATACTTTATGGGGTCGGAAACGCTTCCTTCTAGCTGTTACATACTTTTGCACGAATCTAGTATACCCTTTTACTCTACGAGTAACGGGTATAATAAATCGTTAGAGCTGTTTTTGAGAAAATAGCAAAAAACTTATTTCAAAAAATAACTTTTAGTCATAAATTTGAAACTATCTTATTTAGCCAATATCAACAAAGGCAGCGTGATTCGCATATTTCATTACCTTTTCAACGAGGTATTGCACGAGACGGTAGCTTTGGTCGTTCAGAAACTATAAGACTTCAAAATCTAGCCCTTTTTTTAAAAGGGTTTTTCCAAAAGTCGTAGAACAAACGTTTCTTATATTGACTTGCTTAACACCATAAAAATGACATAAAATTATATAAAAAATTACAGGATTCTAGAACAACGATTGGATCCATACATACAAACAAACGGACAAAAGTTTTCATTTTAAGAACATGAAGAAAATCTTGTTTTCGGTATAACTTTTTAACGGATCATCGGATATCATATAACCCCTAATTCGACAGGTATTTTCAATAGAAAAACAACTAAAACATTTCGTGGGGCATTTATCCCCACCGGCCCCAACAGCTCCAAAGTTCGAAATGTTCACTTTTTTACTTTCTCCGCTCTCTCTTCCAAGACAATTGATTTTCTGAAAGTCTTGGTATGCAATCCTGTTAGTTTTTCCGATACCTTTTGATAGCAGATTTTCAATTTTGCGGCTATATATATAGTTGTCGACTTCGCACACTCTCCTTATATTCTTCGTCACTACATGGACTGCCGTCCATAGTGATTTATTTATATATTTTTTCTTAAAAAATTCCTACAACAACAAAATTTTACTAAAAAAATTCACTTTGTGATGTTTTTTTTTACCTATTTAATTGCCTTTACATACCCTGGGTGTGTGCTTAAGTTTTGTGCATCAACCATCTTCAAACCTATTCTTAAACTTTTTCAATTGTCTATTTCATCATCAGTTTTTCCAACTATCTGGAAGGATTCTTTTATTATTCCACTTCACTAAAAGGATGCGAAGGCGGATGCCCAGAATTATAGAGGTATTTCTAAATTGTCGGCAATTCCAAAAGCCTTTGAACGTATTATCACTTCTCATTTGCAACATTTATGTTCCTCGCTAATATCACCGTGTCAGCACGGTTTTGTTAAGCGAAGATCGACTACCACCAACCTACTTGAATTGTCATCAATTGTAATAAATGGATTTAACAATAAAAAGCAGACTGACTTTGTATATTCAGATTTCAGTAAAGTCTTTGACTCTGTTAACCATTCTCTTCTTTTATTCAAATTAGATTTGCTTGGGTTTCCATGTAATCTATTAACTTGGATTTCAAGCTATTTGAATGGGAGGACTCAGAGGGTTATATTTAAGAACGCTCTTTCAAAAACGATCCATGTGACATCTGGAGTACCTCAGGGTAGTCATTTGGGCCCTTTGCTGTTTACTTTGTTTATTAATGATCTTCCCTCTATTGTAACACATTCTCGTGTACTAATGTATGCTGATGATGTTAAGTGTGTTTGACATATAATAATATAGAGTCTGGTTTTGGCTTACAATCAGACATTGATCATTTTCAAGTATGGTGTGAGTATAACCTCTTAAATTTGAACTGCCTAAAATGAAACGTAATGACCTTTTATAGGGTTACCCCTACCTTTATAAGTTATTCGCTTCAGAATTTGCCACTTGACCGTATATATTCAGTAAATGATTTAGGCGATCTTCTGGACCCGAAGCTTAAATTTGACTGCCACATAATGTCGACAGTCAATAAAGCTATGAGTGTTCTTGGGTTTATAAAGCGTTGGTCAAAAGAATTTGATGACCCTTATATAACCAAATTATTATTTACCTCCCTTGTCCGTCCTATATTGGAATATTGTTCTTCGGTTTGGAGCCCACAATACCAAGTCCACATTGACCGTATAGAGTCGGTACAAAAAAAATTTCTCCTTTTTGCCCTTCGTAGTTTGAACTGGGATCAAAACGTAAGGCTACCTTCCTACCAGAGTAGATTATTATTGCTTAATTTACCGACACTTGCAAATCGTAGAAAAATGCGTGGTACCATTTTTATGCAAATTCTTATAAGAGGTGATATTGATTCTGTAGAACTTGTTAGCCGCCTAACTTTTAATGTTCCCGTTAGACTAACACGTAATTATCATCCTCTTAATTTACCTCGATGCACATCAAATTTTGGTCTGCACGAGCCCTTTCGCGTTCTATGTAATAACTATAACGTTCTTTATCATTTAATTTGCACATCAACTTCTATCTCGGTATTAAAAACTAACATTTTAACTCATTTGCTTCACTCCTAACTGCATGTTTTTTTCATTATTTGTCCCGTCTTTATTGGTTTTATGTATTCTTCCTCGCGAACTCGCATTTTTGCCCAAATTTACAAAAGGGCCCCGCGCGTAACAAGCACGTGCTTGGTGTCGTTGGGCCACTTGTTTGTACTTCTCGTAGTGCATCAACGTCCATCATATATTTAACAATACCCTAACAAAAGATATTCGCTATAGGGCTCCTCTGATTTAAGGCAGACTTTTGACTTTTTCGCCCCACTGTGCATCATTTTAAATAGGCAATAACAGCACATCGTGTGAGCCATGTCCGTCTGTCGGTCTGTTTCTACGCAATCTAGTCTCTTAAATGTTAAGCAATCGGGATGAAACTTTCCCAAAAGTCTTATTTCTATTACAGGTATTATATAAGTCGGAACCAGCCGGATCGGAACTATACCAACTTTCTACTTTTGGGAATATTACTATTTAAATATTTTTGAATTTCGAATTAAATTAAAAAAAATGGGATCACTATAACCATAGGAACAGTCGAAAAATTAAATGGAAATTAATGGAAAAAAATTTATTTTTGTTGATGTATATTACATTTTCTTCTTTTTTTGGGATATAGCTTTTCCGTAACATTTCAAAATTTCGAATTTAATTTAACGAAATTTGGACGGTTATATTATATAGTATGTTTTTTTAAGTTAATAGTATACAAGTATGCAAGGGTATATAAGCTTCTACTGGGCGAAGCTAGCTTCCTTTCTTGTTAATATATTCTTTGAAAACTAAGAATTGGTAAATATTTTATCAGTTTTTTATTACAGGCTTTGCACATCTGCGAAGAAGGCATTCAGAAGATCAATGAATCTGCCAATCGCCTGGAGAAGCCTGTGCTTACCTGGTCCTTGCTCGTAGATCTAGACGGTCTTTCTATGCGACATCTGTGGCGTCCAGGCATCAAAGCTCTGCTTTACATAATTGATACTGTGGAACGCAATTATCCAGAGACCATGGGACGTGTTTTAGTAGTGCGGGCACCCAGAGTGTTTCCCATTGCCTGGACCATTGTTAGCGCTTTTATCGGTGAGCTAATCCCAACTTAATTGATTTATCTTACTGACAATACTTTGAAAATCCTCAGATGAGCACACGCGATCTAAGTTTCTGTTCTATGGTCCCGACTTCGCGCATATGAAAGATGGTTTAGCCCAGTACCTCGACGGGGAGGTAATACCTGACTTCTTGGGAGGACCCTGCAAGGTAAAAAACAAGCGGCAGACACGATACCGTGTTTTCGGTCGTGAATCCATCTGCATCTAATGCTATTTACATGATTTTGTTATTATTGTATCTGTGCATAACCAATCTCTCTTTTCTCACTGGTTTTGGCCTTGATTCCGGCTCGCTGGGGCTACTCAGACAGAAATCCAGCACGATTTGCATGTGGAGCAAGTCAGTCAGACATATTTTTCCCATTGTTATTTAACCAAATGCGATTGTGTAAGCATCCTACTCTCTTGTTATTTTGGTCCTGCTCAATTTCGTATGTCATTATCAACAACAACAAATTTTATTGTATTTGTCCGCCTTTGTCTTACTTCCCTTTTGGTTTTCACACATTGATTGTGCAGTTTTTTTTTTAAGTTTTGTCAACTTCATGTGCGCAGCTACTATAATAGTATTCCCATTGGGCCCCTGCGCCCGTGTCCACCTCACTTGTTTTCTGTTCACTCAGACGGTGGCATAAAAGGCTCTTCAATAGCTGCTTGTCGTCGCCGCCAGAAAAAACTCTAACATATTGTCTTCTTTCCAAAAGACCATGATTCACGAGTGCGGACTTGTACCCAAAACGCTTTACAAGATGAACTCGCTGGATGATCATGGGGACGAAGTGCCTGTAGAACTGCCCATCATTATTGAAGTGCTGGCTCCGGGCATCCACCAGCACGACCATAAAAACCTGTACAAGAGCGTGGATCTAAAAGCCGGATTTAGCCACGAGCTGCTCATCCGGAACGAGGACCCTAAGAGTGTCCTTACTTGGGACTTTGATGTAATCCGCAACGACATGCACTTTACGCTTTACCGGATCACCCAGGAGCTTCCGGAGAAGAAAGGTGAATGATTAAATCTAAAAACTAAATAACTAAATCTAAAAGTTTAATAACTTTAATATAAAAATGCCATCTTGTTTTTTCGCGCGCCCCATTTCAAATAATTTAGATTTTGCAATAACATATTGGGAATTACAGTGACCAGAAGGTGTCAAAAGGCCAAATAGTTAAAATAATCCATTTGATTTCGGCGCTCTTTTAGTGCTGGCAGCATTTTTCTAGCACCAGCAGCTAGTGATAGGCGGTTCCAAAATTGTATTGCCCAAGGTATTGGTATCACCGGCCATGCAATGCGCTAGCCAGGTTTTAACGTTAAGGGCGTTTGTGGGCGTGACAAACTTTTTGTGGTCGTTATAGGGGGCGTGGCACCTCGATAAAACAAAATTGCGCTGTGTAGGAACCGTTAAAATCTGTATGTTGAATGCCAACTATAAAATGTTTCTGCTATCTCAGCGTTCATACAGCCAGACAGGCGGACAAACGGACTTGGCTAGATCGACTCGGCTAGAGATATATATTTTATAGGGTCGAAAACGCTTCCTTCTACCTGTTACATACTTTTGCACGAATAAAATATACCTACCCTTTTACTCTGCGAGTAACGAATATAAAAATCAATAAAATACGTCTGGTAAGGTACATCTCCCTGATTAATAAAATGAAACTTACAATTTGTTGTATGGTAGATGAGAGTATTTCGTCACAGGGGCAATTTCGCCACCTGCAATATCTCGGAATCCATAAGTCGTAAAAATATATAATTTTTTGGTTTTAGTCCTTCAAGACGGCCAGACACAACCAATGCGTTTTTTTTGCACAGAAGGCCAAGATAATAAAGCTATAATATTAAATGTGTTTTAATAGTTCAAAAGCTACATTTAAATTTTTTCTGTATGCCACAATTGAAAAGGGATAAGATACAGGTTTTTTTGTATAATACACAGTGCTGTAAAGTGCGTTTCTGCGTTAGTGATTTTTAACTTCGCGCCTAATTTCGGAAGAAAAATAATTATTTCTAAAAAAGTTCTGTCTGGGGAAATTTCGGCACCCTATGCTTAGGGTAAATTCGCACCTATTTTAAATACATCTTTTTTTATTTGACGAGCTGGCTAACGAACAGACTACCAGCAGCAGCAACAAATATAGGACGTCAACAAAAATGGTACGCTTGATCAGTGTAGCATATTTACAGGCGTTAAACTCCCTACATTTTTCAGGTGACGGAAATGCCCCAGTGGTGTAGCGATTTTACCCCTGTATGTGGCGAGATTGCCCCAGTATATTGGTTTTACTTTTTAATTTTTTATAAATCACAAGGTAATTAAAAAAAAGGGGAATGTCACATTTTAAAGCTTGCTAACCGCATTCAACAATAAAAATAGAAATATGATAACGTGTCTCAAGATGGAAAATAGCTTTGAAAAAATGCTGACTAAATTGCCCCACTCTCCCCTATACATATATTCTTGATTAAGGTCACTAGCCGAGTCGATATAGCCATGTCTGTCTGTCTGTCCGTCTGTCCGTCTGTCCGTCTGTCCTTCTGTCTGTCTGTCTCTCTGTCTGTCTGTCTGTCTGTATGAACGCTGAGATCTCGGAAAATACAAAAGCTAGAAGACTGAGATTCCCCGCACATATTCCTGGGCTTCCTACGCAGCGCAAGATTATTTCAGCCTAGCGCCACGCCCCCTCTAACGCCCACAATCGCCCACTAACGATTTTAAAACGTGTCTGGAGCCCAAACCTTTAAAGATTTCCGAGAAGTATAGCTGCAATTTTGTTGTGTATATTTATACCTATCGAAATGTAACAATGAAAAAAATTTGTATATACCCATCTCCCTCGCACTCCCTTTAGCTGAGTGACGGGTATTAGATAGTCGAGACCTCAACCCTACTATAGTTTTCCATCTCCCTCGCACTCCCTTCAGCTGAGTGACTGGTATTAGATAGTCGGGACACAAACCCGACGGTTTTTTGACGTTAAGGTTAAAGGAAAACCACCAAAGAAAAAGAGGAAAAAAACTGTCGCGTAGGACATGTAGCGTGTGACAGTCACTTCAATGCACATACAAAAAAACTTATACCACATATTTTTCAAGCAAACCAAACACATTTTGAAGAAGAAAGAAAAAGGAACACTATGAAATGAACTGCATTAAAATATCTTTTCACGTTTTTATACAATCGAAAGTTAAGCTGGTAGTCAAAAAAGTCACTTCTACTAGTGTCGCGTGCGAAAGTCTTGGTCTTGGGCATCCCGTTTTGTAATGTTCCAGCATGAAATGTGAAAAGTTGATTAAGGTTTTGAAGAACAAATTCTTTCATTTTGAGACTTAGTATCGACCAAAATCGAATATTTTTGAAATAAATAAGTTTTTTTCCAAAAGGGCAGTTCTTTAAAAATCATTTTCGAGGTCTGTTTTGTGCACGTAATGAACTGAACAGAATTCATATTTGATTCACAAGTGTTAAGAATATTGACCAGACAAAAGTTAAGATGAATTGTTGAATATGACTGCGAAAAACTACTATTTTTTATAAGGTGTAGAGAAACATATTCAATATTTATGTATAGGTCGAAGATTGAAAGGATTTTTGGCTGGATTTCTCTCAAAATGGAGAAAGTTTATATTTAACCAGAAAAAAAATCTCGGTTAAGTTTAATTATTGGAACCGGAAGAAAGCCATTGTGTCGTATAATTATGAAACAATCCCCAATAGCCAAAAAATATACTATATTTCGAAATTTTCAAAAAACAAATGTCTTGGTGTCGTATAGTTTTGAAACACACCTTATGTGTTATTTATTCAGGATTTTTTACGAATTTAGTAAATAAGTACCGCTACCAGCATTACGGTAATCGGTTTGAAATAATATTATTGTTCTGGTATCGATATTAGTTCCGGTCTCGGATTTGGTCTTATTCCCTGGTCTTAGACCATGATGAGATGACCATGAGATAGCATTTGTTAAGTCTAAAAGTAGACTGGCCAAAGGGCCAATCTAAAAAAAAAACAAGAGAGAAGGCTATAGTCGGGTTGGTGTCCCGACTATCTAATACCCGTCACTCAGCTAAAACGAATGCGAGGGAAATAGATATATAATTTTTTTTTTTATAATGAGGGGATTTAAAGGATTTAAAAAATGTCTTCTACGTTTCGATAGGTATAAATATACACATCAAATTTGCATTTATACTTCTCGGAAATCTTTAAAGATGTGGGCTCCAGACACATTTTAAAATCGTTAGTGGGCGATTGTTGGCGCTAGAAGGGGCGTGGCGCTCGGATGAAATAAACTTGCGCTGCGTAAGAAGCCCAAAAATATGCGTTGGAAATCTCAACCTTTAGCTTGTGTAGTTTCCGAGATCTCAGCGTTCATACAGACAGACGGACATGGCTATATCGACTCGGCCTGATCAAGAATATATATACTTTATAGGATCGGAAGCGCTTCCTTCTCCCTGTTACATACTTTTGCACGAATACAATATACCCTTTTACTCTACGATTACGGGTATGAACATTAAATTTCTCTTAAAAAGCTCCCAATTCAATGGATTTTATTTCACTGATTTTAAAGTGGAATCTCCCTTGAAGGTTGATATTGAACGTGTCTTATATACTTTACAAGAGTAATATATCAATATTTTTTAAAAAAAAATTTCGATACGATACTTTCTTAAATATTCGATAACGATACTTTATATTATATAATCATCACCAACATTATCTTTGTTGGTCAATTTTACCAAGCACTGGCCCTGTACCAGAACTGGCATAATGCAATATTGGGAGAACGTGAAATTTAAGTTTCCATATTTATATGAACTGGCTAGGGTCGTGCATTCAGTGCCAGCCACCCAAGTGAACGTGGAGTGCTCGTTTTCTGCACTTAATCTAGTTTTAAGCGACTTAAGAAGAAACCTAAGCCGTGAGTGGCTTGAAAATTTTTTTTTGGAAAACTAAACAACAAATTCAATTAAATATAAACATACATTAAATGCATTTTTATTATTGATCATATTCGCTAGTACTGAGGGGTTCGATGGGTGAAAAACCTTTACAATGTAAAAGCCCTATGGTCGACCTTGGCACTAACAAAATTGTGACCATGGTCATTAGTGGTTCCTCTTGGTCTGTAGAATTTGCGATCTCATTATGTAGAACAAGTCATTAATGTTGAAAAATTACTGTCTATAAGTACAAATTGCAACCTTTAAAACTTCAACAAAAATCTTAAGACTTAAATATTTTTAATCACCAAATAAAAGTTATTTAATGATTTTTTAGTAAAAGTCTTTTATAAGGGTTTTCTCGACTTGTATTATACCCTTGCAGAGGGTATTATGATTTCAGTCAGAAGTTTGCAACGCAGTGAAGGAGACGGTTTCGACCCCATAAAGTATATATATTCTTGATCAGCATCGATCTAGCCATGTCCGTCTGTCTGTTTCTACGCAAACTAGTCTCTCAGTTTTGAAGCTATCGGCTTAAAACTTTCCCAAAAGTCTTCTTTCTATTGCAGGTAGTATAAATGTCGGAACCGACCAAATCGGACAACTATATCTTATAGCTCTCATAGGAAGGATCGGAAAAAAAACGTTAAACAATTCTAGCTTCGCTGTTTTTTAAAATATTACCTTCTACTCTTGGGAATAATTTTTATTTATTTATTTCTATTTTTATCTATCTTTATAATCGGATCACTATATCGAAAAATTAAATGGAATATAATAGGAAAAAAATTATATCTTTGTTGATATATCGAATATCGATTTTAATTTTTTAAAAGATTGAACTACTATATCATATAGCTGCCATAGAAACGATCGAAAAACTATTGTAAAATAATAGGAAATTTAACATTTTTGCGATTTGTAAATTAATAGAATGATCTGCAAGGGTATATAAGCTTCGGCTTGCCGAAGCTAGCTTCCTTTCTTGTTTTTTCAGTCAAAAACTTTTATTATAAAAGTCATCAATAAAAGTTACGGAAGACTTTTATTTTTTGCTCAAAAAACTGTTATTCTCAGGGAAAAAACATAAAAGCATACAGCTGGGGTCAAAATAGTAGTAGTGTTGCCGCCCTGTGTTTTTAAAGTTTGTTGCTGGCACTTTTCTTATCCAATTAGTCTAATAGTACAATTAAATTCAATACAATATTACCAGGAAAAGATCAATTACAACAAACTTTTAAATACACAGGGCAGCAACACTACTACTATTTTGACCGCAGCTGTATAATTTTATGTTTTTTGACCATGTTTTCTAAAATTTGTTTCTCCCTTAATAAAATTTCTAAAATTATTCTAAGTATGGGGTTTGAAAGATAAAGAGAGCATCTTTTAAAAAAACTTTAACATCGAATCAAACCATGAATCCGTTTGCCTCTGAGAGCTCCGGAAAGTTGGCCAATTTCAGCATTTTTCGAAATTTTAGGTCCTTTTGCTAAGAATCCTTGCGTCGGGTAACTTTTTGGAAACAGCAGTTTAACTTGGGAAATTCGTAACGAATCCAAAAATATAGCATCAATCGAGTTAAATTTTTGATGCTGCATAGTGTAATGATTACACAGGACGACAAAATGTGACATGGGTCGGTGTCCAGGCCTGCCACCATTTTATTTCGATAAATGAGGCTTTTTAAAGCTTAAGTTGCGACTACGTCTATAGTCCATCAGCTCTGGTATTTGCGGTATCTTTCATTTAAGAAAATCACTAATTTTATTCGTCTTTTGGGATATATCTTCAGAGTGGTCAACCAATTTTGGTAATCTTTTCGGAATTAAATAGTTACATGTCTCTTTTATACGGTCGTTTTGGGAAATTAAATCTAACTCAACCACACGAGGAGGTGGGCGCATTAAAAATTTTAAAGACACAACAAAGTTTAAAAATCTTCATTTGTGAACAGCATTTAAAAATTAAATAAAAATATTTTCTTCTGCAATGCATTTTTGATCCAAAGACACCTTATGTTCTTAATTTTTAGGACACTCATCAGGTTTTCGTGAATTGTTTTGGAATTTTTAAAATTGTTTTTCTTACTTTCTTCACAGTGACGATTCACAAATAGTGCCCAACTCTGCCACTATTTTACGTAACTCATAACTATTTTTGAGCACAAGTGACCCTTGCTTTAAAAATATTTATACATGGGCGTAAGCTAAAAGCTGGAGGGGGATTACACTTCAGGCATTTCAGCCCCCAAAGATTAGTAGGCTACGCTCATGTGCTTATACTCAAAGCAAAACTACTTAGATCGTTTAGAATTATGATATTTAAAATTGTAACAGGTTTGGGCACTGTTTGTGAATCGTCACTGTGAAGGAAGTAAGAAAAACAATTTTAAAAATTACAAAACAACTCACAAAAACCTGATGAGTGTCCTAAAAATTAGGGACATAAGGTCTCTTTGGATAAAAAATGCATTGTGGAAGAAAATATTTTTATTTAATTTTTAAACGCTGTTCACAAATGAAGATTTTTAAACTTTGCTGTGACTTTAAAATTTTGAATGCGCCCACCTCCTCGTGTGGTTGAGTTAGATTGAATTTTCCAAAACGACCGTATAAAAGAGACATGTAACTATTTATTTCCGAAAAGATTACCAATATTGGTTGACCACTCCTTTTTGGTTAATCTATCCATTTTCACCATGATTTTTATTTTTGTGTTTTTTATAATATTCCTAAAAAACAATCAAAATAAAAATCAAAAATAATCATTATTTCTGATCGGAAAAAATAAAACTAAAAAAAAATGATTTTTGTTGATTTTTATTTTTTTCGCTCAGAAATAAAACTAACTTGGACGCCACGGCTTTTCTGTGCCGATATTTGGCGTTTTTTTTTTGCATAGTCCCATGTACCACCTCTGGAAAAAAGCTTGAAATTTGCTTCTGCATCCCGTTAAATGGTATCATTAAACATTAAACAATGTAGCACTACTTTTTGATATCTTTAGTTAGTCCACATAATCTAAAGATTCTTCTTCTTAAGAATTCGCTACTATTGAATAATCGATTAAAATATCAAACGAACTATAAGAATATAGCTAAGTAGGGAAAGTATCTACACAATCAGCTCCTCTTCTTAAGAATTCACGGTTTTTGAAGAACTGATTTAAATACCTTATTCTCTGACTTTTAATTTAAAAGTCTGAAATAACTGTTACTTCATGACTTAAAAATAAAAGATGGTGAATAACGATTAATCGATGACTTTTAAACTGCTATGTAATGCGCGTTTATTATACGTCGAAATATTTATATATATAAATCTTTATATATCAATCTCTGACTTTCTCCTGTAGATTCTGCCGTCTCGTACTTTGATCTTCAGGACTTCGTTGAAGGCGTCAACTACTTCCGGGAGGAGCCCACACTTATTTGCCGTCACAAAGAAAGCGTGCAGGGATCACACGTGATGCACCACAACGACAGTTATTTAATGCACTGGTTTAGTCCTTTGGGGGCTCAACTAAATGTCTTCTTCGAGGTGCTAAGCTCGGCTAATTACAAGGGCTCCATGACCAGCCTTCAGTCGGCTTTCTCATCGAACTCGTCGGCGGCTAGTTCGGTTCAGAGTCGATGATATAAAACAAACGGAGAGGGTGGGACGAACCGCGCAAATTTGACCCAGTCTTTGGATGAGACAATGGGGTAGGACATCCTGTCAGTCATATTGATGAAGAAGAGCGTTAATCTTCTTAAAACGCCGGATGTATTTTTTAAAATCTGAAAGCGGTACAATTTTTAAACTTTGGCTTAAATTTATTTAGCAAAATGTTAGTTTAACTTATAATTTATTAGCAAAAGGCAATTTTAACCAATAAAGCTATTACGAGTAGATTTATTTAATGTATGTATGTATACTTTCAATATTTTATTTATTTATTTATTTATTTAAAGTTAGCAAATATCTGCCAACATAAACATAGTACCCTACTCACATCAAGTGGAAGGGGGCAGGGACAGATAAGTTAGGATGTTTGTTACAATTAAATTAACAGAGCATTCCGAGAATATCAAAAAATACAGTTCATTATATTGCGAACATAAAACGCGAAATGGATCATGTAACTCAAAGTTAGTTTTACAAATATCGAGGGCAATTGGTCGAAAGTGCCGAGTAGACCTTACAGGAATGGAGAAACGGATTTGACCAAGAAGGTAGCTTGAATTTACAAGTCCAGTAATTAATTTGTGCAGGAACATAACACCATGGCACGTTCGACGATCCTTGAGGGAGGGCAGGTTACGTAGACGTAGTCTATCCATGTACGATGGCAGGTGTCGATGTGTTTCCCAGTTTAAACCACGTAGAGCAAACAAAAGGAACTGTTTCTGTACCGACTCGATAAGGTCCTGATAAATGGTATATTGGGGTGACCAAACACACGAGCAGTATTCAAGAATTGGACGAACCAAGGAAATGTATAAATGTTTTGTGGTGTAGGGGTCCTCAAATTCCTTCGACCAACGCTTAACAAAGGCAAAAACGCCTTTTGCTTTACTAACTATGATACCAATGTGATTAGAGAAATTTAAGTTGTGGTTGAATAACACTCCAAGGTCTGTAACGGAATTTATGCGTTCAAGTTCATTCGACCCAATAGAATATGTAGTTAGGAGAAGCTTCTTCCGATAAAAGGACATAAAGTTACATTTAGAATTGTTCAAAAACAACAAATTTTGGATGCACCATGAATTCAGATTGTTCAGATCAGCTTGCAAAAGTGCCTGGGAATCGGGATTCGATAACGGCAAACAGAGTTTTACGTCGTCAGCATACATCATAACATGAGCAGAGAGAACAACTTGGGGCAAGTCATTAATGAAAATTCCAAACAGTAAGGGTCCAAGGTGGCTCCCTTGCGGAACACCAGAGGTCACGTGAACAAGGTTTGAGACTGTGCTTTTAAAAGCAATTCTTTGAGTTCGGTTCGTCAGGTAGGCTGAGATCCACTTAGTCAACGTGATCGGGAATCCTAATAGTGTTAATTTTTTCAATAATAACTGATGGTTCACGGAATCGAAGGCTTTACTGAAGTCCGTAAAAATAACATCGGTTTGATTATCATTTTTAAAAGCGCTTCTGATGACTGAAGTAAACTCAAGAAGATTTGTAGTCGTTGATCTTCGTTTCATAAAGCCATGCTGAGTTGGGGACATTACTGAGCTGCATTGGTGCTGTAGCTGAGCGGTAATAAGCTGTTCGAAAAACTTGGGGATTGCGCTTAGTTTTGCAATACCACGGTAGTTTTTAATGTCCGACTTGCTTCCCTTTTTATGAAGTGGAATGATAAAAGATTCCTTCCAAACTTCAGGGAAAAATGAATGAAGGAGGGATATTTGAAACAGTTTAGATAGCGGTTTGCCCAAGGCATCAGCACATTTTTTTAAGATACAGCTCGGTACAAGATCAGGGCCAGAAGAGAAAGACGTCTTGATTGTGTGCAAATTTTGTAAAACATCGTCCTCACTAATTAGGGGAGTGAAAAAGCAGTTGGAATGAGGAAGAGGGTATGGGTAGGAAGAGGTGTTATCGTAACTAAAAGAAGAGTACGTGGACTGGAAGAATTGTGCGAATAAGTTCGCAATATCGGAGTCGCTAGAGGCGGATATTGTATCAAGATGAAGGCATGATGGAAATAGTTGCGATTTTCGTTTCGAATTAACAAATGCGAAGAACTGCTTGGGATTGTCTTGGAATTCGATTCTGCAACGGTTTAGGTAACTGTTGTAACAATCGGAATTGTGGACTAAAAAATTGGAACGAGCAATTAGATACCTAGAATGGTCAACTTGCAGCCCAGTTCTCTTATATTTCTTAAAAAGTCTAGACATGGTGTTTTTAAGGAAAGAGAGTCGACGAGAGAACCACGGAGGCTTATGAGACGCGTTTCCAGTGGGAAATGAAGGAACGAACTTATCGAAGGCTAAATATAGTAAGCTATAAAACTGTTCTACAATATGTGAGGGATTATCATTTGAATCCATAAAAGACCAATCGAGTTGGGATAAATGCCTATTCATTTCAGCAAATTTAGCTCTTCGAAAACAGCGAAAAGTTGCTGGTTCGATATCGGGACATGACAGTAAAGGAGCTGATGCTTCTAAAGTAACCTCAAGTGTGGGATGATACGCATCTTCAGGATTGGAGAGAGGGCTAATTCGAGTTACATATGCATTTGCGAACTCCGAGGCAAAAATAAGGTCTAAAACTTTGCTAGAGCAGTTCATGACTGAGTTCAGTTGACCTAATGAAAGATCAATAAGACCGTGTACAAACTCATGCGCTGTGGAAGGAACAAGAGCACTTGAATCAGTTGAGGGCATCCAAGAAAGGGCGGGGAGATTAAAGTCACTCATAACAATAAGATGATCGTTATCGCCAAGGGTAGTATGAATACTCTGTATTTGATCCAAATGTTGGAGGTAGAGGCTAATATCAGACCGGGGAGGAATGTATGAGCATGATACGAAAACAAAATAATCGTGAAGTTTAATCCGAACAGCGACAAACTCTAATGTACTATCCGTACCAATTATCGGAATACGTTGAGAGACAAGATTGGACTTGACGGCAATGAGAATACCACCGCCAAGACGCACTGAGCGGTCACATCTATAGATAACATAATTACCAGCAAAGATTTCGCAGTCAGACACAGAAGAATTAAGCCACGTTTCGGTAAAAGCAATCACATTGGCATTAAAGGAGACACTGTTCACGTGCAGTTTACTAAGTTTGCCCAATAAACTGCGAACGTTCTGGTAGTGTAGAGAAAAAGAATTATTTAGTTTTTTGAAGCATTGGTTATCTTTTCGGAATTAAATAGTTACATGTCTCTTTTATACGGTCGTTTTGGGAAATTAAATCTAACTCAACCACACGAGGAGGTGGGCGCATTAAAAATTTTAAAGACACAACAAAGTTTAAAAATCTTCATTTGTGAACAGCATTTAAAAATTAAATAAAAATATTTTCTTCTGCAATGCATTTTTGATCCAAAGACACCTTATGTTCTTAATTTTTAGGACACTCATCAGGTTTTCGTGAATTGTTTTGGAATTTTTAAAATTGTTTTTCTTACTTTCTTCACAGTGACGATTCACAAATAGTGCCCAACTCTGCCACTATTTTACGTAACTCATAACTATTTTTGAGCACAAGTGACCCTTGCTTTAAAAATATTTATACATGGGCGTAAGCTAAAAGCTGGAGGGGGATTACACTTCAGGCATTTCAGCCCCCAAAGATTAGTAGGCTACGCTCATGTGCTTATACTCAAAGCAAAACTACTTAGATCGTTTAGAATTATGATATTTAAAATTGTAACAGGTTTGGGCACTGTTTGTGAATCGTCACTGTGAAGGAAGTAAGAAAAACAATTTTAAAAATTACAAAACAACTCACAAAAACCTGATGAGTGTCCTAAAAATTAGGGACATAAGGTCTCTTTGGATAAAAAATGCATTGTGGAAGAAAATATTTTTATTTAATTTTTAAACGCTGTTCACAAATGAAGATTTTTAAACTTTGCTGTGACTTTAAAATTTTGAATGCGCCCACCTCCTCGTGTGGTTGAGTTAGATTGAATTTTCCAAAACGACCGTATAAAAGAGACATGTAACTATTTATTCATGACTTAAAAAATAAAAGATGGTGAATAACGATTAATCGATGACTTTTAAACTGCTATGTAATGCGCGTTTATTATACGTCGAAATATTTATATATATAATATAAATCAATCTCTGACTTTCTCCTGTAGATTCTGCCGTCTCGTACTTTGATCTTCAGGACTTCGTTGAAGGCGTCAACTACTTCCGGGAGGAGCTCACACTTATTTGCCGTCACAAAGAAAGCGTGCAGGGATCACACGTGATGCACCACAACGACAGTTATTTAATGCACTGGTTTAGTCCTTTGGGGGCTCAACTAAATGTCTTCTTCGAGGTGCTAAGCTCGGCTAATTACAAGGGCCCCCCAACCCCCCCTCCCCCCCCCTTTCTCCCCACCCCCCCCGCCGGCGTTTAGGTTCAAAAAAAAAAAAAAAAAAAAAAAAAGAAGGAGGGACGAACAAACCAAAAAAAAACCCCAAATTTAAAAAAAAAAAAAGGGGAAAAACCCCCTTTAAAAATTATAAAAAAAAAAAAAATTATATTTTTTAAAAAACAATAAAATTTTTTAAAAAAAAAAAAAAAAAAATTTTTTTAATTTTTTTAATTTTTTTTTTTAAAATTAAATTTTATTTTATTATATTTTTTAAAAAAAAAAAATAAAAATAAAAAAAATAATAAAATTAATTTTTTTTTTTTTTTTTTTTTTTTTTTTTTTTTTTTTTTTTTTTTTTTTTTTTTTTTTTTAAAATATAAAAAAAAAAAAAAAAAAAAAAAAAAAAAAAAAAAAAAAAAAAAAAAAAAAGAAAAAAGAAAAAAAAAAATAAAATTTTTTTTAAAAAAAAAAAAAAAAAAAAAAAAAAAAAAAAAAAAAAAAAAAAAAAAAAAAAAAAAAAAAAAAAAAAAAAAAAAAAATAATTTTTTTTTTTATTTATTTCCAAAAAATTAGCAAATATCTGCCAATATAAACCTAACTCCTACCTCCGCCCGAGTAAAGGAGTTTTTTTAATGATATGCTCCGACTCACATCAAGTGGGCAGAGGCAAGGATAGGTGATTAAAAATATTTCTTACATTAAAGTCCACGGAACATTCAACAAACAACAAAAAATACAATTCATTATATTGAGTACACAAAACTCGAAAAGGATCGTGCGCTTCAAAATTCGATTTGCAAATTTCAAGAGCAATAGGCCGAAAGTAGCGGGATGCTCTTACGGGGATCGAAAACCGTATTTGGCCGAGTAAGAAGCTAGAATTTATAAGTCCAGTGATCAACTTGTGGAGGAACATCACTCCGTGGCAGGTCCGACGATCCATTAGCGAGGGCAGGTTCAGAAGACGCAGTCTATCGACGTAGGATGGCAGGTGACGTTGTGGTTCCCAGTTTAACCCACGTAAAGCAAACAAAAGGAACTGTTTCTGTACCGATTCGATTAGGTCCTGATATTTAGCATATTGAGGTGACCATACGCACGAGCAGTATTCAAGAATAGGTCGCACAAGAGAAATGTAAAGGTGCTTTGTGGTGTAGGGATCCTCAAATTCTTTAGACCAGCGCTTTACAAACGCAAAAACCCCTTTTGCTTTACTGACAATGATGCCGATGTGATTGGTAAAGTTTAGGTTGTGGCTAAATAAAACTCCAAGATCTGTTACGGAATTAATGCGTTCAAGATCGTTCATCCCGATGGAATAATTAAAGAGGAAAAGCCTCTTCCGATAAAAAGACATGAAGCTACATTTAGAATTATTTAAGAACAGCAGGTTCTGGAGGCAACATGATTGAAGATTGCATAAGTCCGCTTGCAGGAGTACGTGAGAATCAACGTTTGTTAAGGGCATGCAAAGTTTTACGTCATCGGCATACATCATCACGTGGGAAGAGAGAATTACTTGAGGCAAGTCATTTATAAAGATTCCAAACAGAAGTGGTCCAAGGTGACTCCCTTGAGGAACGCCAGAAGTCACATGGACAAGGTTTAAGATCGAATTTTTAAATAATACTCTCTGCGTCCGGTTCAATAAGTATGAAGAAATCCACTTCGTCAACGAGATCGGGAATCCCAAAAGCGTAAGTTTTTTTAACAGTAACTGATGGTTCACCGAATCGAAAGCCTTACTAAAGTCTGTAAAGATTACATCAGTTTGGGTGTTGGTTTTAAACGCATTCCTAATAACTGTAGTAAACTCTAGAAGGTTGGTTGACGTTGATCTACGTTTCATAAAGCCGTGCTGTGTTGGGGACATTATTGAGCTACACTGGTGCTGAAGCTGAGCAGTAATTAACTGTTCGAAGAGTTTGGGAATAGCACTGAGTTTTGCAATCCCTCGGTAGTTATTAATGTCCGATTTACTTCCCTTTTTATGAAGCGGAATTATAAAAGATTCCTTCCAAACTTCTGGAAAAAATGATTGCTGCAGGGATAACTGAAATAGTTTTGACAGTGGCCCACACAACGCACTAGCACAATATTTTAAAACGCAGCTTGGTACAAGATCGGGACCAGAAGAGAAGGATGACTTGATTCTTTGCAGATTTTGAAAAACATCATCTACGCTGATTATAGGCATAAACATACCATTAGAGTGCGGAAGTGAAAAGGGATACGCTAAGGTATTATCGTAGCTTGTGGATGAATACGTGGACTGGAAAAAATTTGCAAATAAATTGGCAATATCGGCATCATTAACAGCAGAAACGGAATCCAGATGAAGGCAGCATGGAAATTGTTGAGACTTGCGTTTGGAGTTAACAAATGCATAGAACTGTTTGGGGTTATCATGAAACTCAGTTCTGCAACGATCAAGGTAATTCTTGTAGCATTGGGAATTGTGAGTTATGAATTCAGATCGCGCAGTAAGGTATCTCGAATAGTCTACTTGCATCCCTGTCCTCTTAAATTTCTTAAAAAGTCTGGACTTACAGTTTTTTAAGTAAGAGAGTCTACGAGTGAACCAAGGAGGCTTATAAGAAACATCAGGTGAGGGGAATGAAGGCACATACAAATCGAAAACCGTGCCGAGAATGCCGTAGAACTGTTTAACAATGTTAAGAGGTTCTTCGTTTAAGTCCATAAAAGACCAATCTACTTCGGATAAATAAAGATTCATATCAGTAAAGTTGGCCTTTCGAAAGCAGCGAAAAGATGCTGGTTCGATTTCAGGACCTGGTAATAAAGGAGCCGAGGCTTCCAGAATGACCTCAAGTGTAGGGTGATAATTGTCTTCAGGACTAACGAGCGGGTCAATTCTTGAAACGTAGGCATTGGCGAACTCAGACGCAAAAATAAGGTCCAAGATTTTATTCGAGGAGTTCTGAATAGAGTTCAATTGTCCCAATGAGAGGTCGATTAGGCCGTGTACCAACTCGTGAGGTAAAGAGGGAACAAGAACATTTGAGTCAGGTGATGACATCCATGATATGGAAGGTAGGTTAAAGTCGCCCATAACAATAAGATGGTCGTTATTGCCGAGGGTGGAGTGAATACTCTGAATATGAGCAACGTGCTGCAGATATACATTAATATCGGACCGAGGTGGAATATACGAGCATGAGACGTAAACAAAATAGTCATGAACGTTAATACGAACAGCAACAAATTCTAAAGTGCTTTCGGAGTCGATTATCGGAATTAATTCTGAAACCAGATCGGACTTGACGGCAATAAGAACACCGCCGCCCAGACGCACTGTACGATCTCGTCTATAGATGACATAGTTGCCCGCAAATATTTCGCAGTCAGACACAGAGGAATTAAGCCACGTTTCAGTAAAGGCAATCACATTGGCGTCAAAGGAGACACTATTGACGTGCAGTTTACTGAGTTTACCCAGTAAACTACGTACATTCTGATAGTGTAGGGAGAATGACTCAATTAGTTTTTTGGAACACTGGCCGAAGGGGTTTGAGGCCCACGAACTCGAGAATTTGATTTGTTAACATACTCGTGAACGATGGCATGCTCCGGCCAGATTGCTATATCAAGGACTTTATCAATTAGAGTGTCAGAAATTCCAATCTTAAACGACGATATTTCGCGTCTTTGCTTAAAACTGAACTTTGAGACAGTAATTTCGGTGCTAGAAATATTCAGTTTGCTACTTAGGTGGGTCTTAACGTCGTTCTCAGAAGCCCCAGGATTCAGACGGGAGACGAAAATGAACCTTTTGGGTGCAACGCCAACTATGGGCGCAGATATCCTTGGCGCGACACCAGATATGATTGATCCACAGTTGATTCGTACAGTCGCCGAATGTGTGGCATTGGTGGTACAAGTAGAATTGGCTACGTCCATATTATCGGAAATAGCAGACGACCGGGCGGTGGCCAACAAAGCGTCTGTTGGTGCCGCGGCGTGCGACGTAGATGCCTGGTCTTCGTTGGCAACAGAGCCAAGATGCAGTCCACTAGGTAAATGCAGAGGAAGAGAAACCAGGGCCGTCGCCGGGGCAACTGTTGGTACAGTTGTCGAGTGATCTGAAGATATGTGGTCTTCATCAGCTGCACCACCATCCGGCAGGGAGGAAGTGGTAAGAGTGGGGGAGGCTTGATTGAAGTCCATAAGTGCTCTTGTAATAGGGCTCAGTTGCATTGGGGCGGAATACTGTGGAACATTTAAGGTATTATTAGGCAAAGAGTAAGTTTGGGCGACACTTAGCATTTTCAGGTTCTTAAAGTGTGATTCAGCAGAGCGGAATTTATCTTGAAGCTCGAGGAACCCAGTCGACAGGGCTTGGAACTCCAGGTGGGTTTGACGCATGAATGTTTTCATATCAACCTCTATATGCCTGCAGTTTGGACAAGTCCAATTAAGGCCAACCCGTGACCTAAGCTTGTCCACAATTGGGCCACTTGTCCGCCCTAGCTCCACGCAGATAGGATGTGCCAAGTTGTCACAAATCCAGCAGCAAACCGAAGTTTGACGGGAAGTTATTTTGTTGCCATAAGAGCAGGAAGCGGCACAGCATGAACTCATTTCGTTTGTTTTGATATATAAATTGATTTAGTAATTGGTTTAAAAATCGCGGCGAAGAACCGATCAAAACAAAAAGCGAAGAGCGCAGGTAAAGCTTTTTGTTTAAGCTCCAAAAATCAAGTGCGTGTGATTGTTCAGCAGCAGATGACCGGAGAGTAATTACACCAACAACAACAAGCGTAATGCACAAGAGCGATAGGAGAGCTAAAGCACGAGCAACAACAATTCTAGCGGGGCGGCAAAGCGGATAGGGAACTTTTTCACAAAGTAGTTTTGCGAAATAAAAAGTCACTGTCTTTATTTAAAACGATCCGGTTTGTTCAGATTGTTAAAATTCACAAGGTCAACAACAGTTCGCTGAAATTCTGGTCAAAATGC